CCTAGGGAACCCGAGGAGGTGAAGGGCACAGATGTGGGTGCCTGAACGTCTGGGTTTGAATCCTTGCCCTGCCCTTTGCTGTGTAAACATTGGCACATTACTAAACCTCTGCGTGTTCCTTACTTCCTCACCTTTGAAACAGTAGTAACGCTGTTCCCTTTAAAAGGGCTGGGTTTGCTTTAGTTTTTTTAGGGGAGTGTACAAATTACTGTCTGAAGAATTTGAAACAGTGCCTAGCAGATAGGAACTATTAAGTATTTACTAAATCTGATTTTTTTTTACAACTTTTTCTTCATATCTACCACTCAATTTTTTTTTTTTAAGATTTTTTTTTTTTTTTTTAATTTGAAAGTCAGGATAAGGGGAGAGGTGAAGACAGAGAGTGTCTTTCCACTGGTTTACTCCTCCAAATGGCCACATCAGGAAGGGCTGGTCTAGGCTGAAGCCAGGAGTTCTATTTAGCTCTCCCCCATGGATGGCAGGGGCCTGCTTGGACCACCTTCTGCTGCCTTCTCAGGTACCTGGGCCGGGAACTGAATTGGAAGCAGAACAGTCAGGACTCAAGCCTGCACTCCAGTGGGGGATGCCAGCAGAGCCAACCGCAGTTAACCTCCTGCACGACACACAACGCTGGCCCACACCACCAACACATTCTATTAGGAATTCATCGTTCCCTTGCCTGTTTCTCAGTTCGTTAAACACATTCCAGATTTCATTTTGGCAGAGGCATCTGCAGGGGTTTCCAAGTCACTTTGCGTGTTCTTATATATTTGTCTATCTTTTATTGAATCAGGTAATTCACCTTCTCTATTGGAAACACATTCTTTTGAGATACCTTTTTTTATTTTTGTATTTAAAGGGGAAGGGGACTTCTCAAATTGCTAAACAAAGTCCCTGATGGTACTGGTCGCCATGATGTCCTGCCAAATATGAATGCCTGTTCAGCCTGGCTCCCTAGTTGTCAGTGTGGTAGAGCTTGATTATAAATGTATGAATGCTTTTAGATTAAGATTTCATGAGCCACTGTATTAAGTGCTTTTCGGAAGTCCAGGGATCATGTGTCAAATGCATTTAAGCAAGTTCCTTAGTTATTTGAGCGGGAAGAGCACCAGTAGGTCTGACTGGCCTGCCAAAAGCAGGAGTGTGTGACTGCCTCTTCCTGGTTATCTGTCTTGTTCACTGGCTTTTGGTGTTTTTCCTGTTCCGTTGGAGAGCTTGAAATAAACCACAGGGCAAGTGCAATGGAATGGTCTTTTCCCGTTCGTTTTATCCAGAGAAGTCCTATGTGTGTCTTTTTACTTTGATTTTCTTTGTCACTCTTTTCAGTTGGCCCCTCAGTTCGCGAGCCACCTTGCTTTGATGGAACGTTGATGCCTGTCACCTGTATTCTTTTGCGGAAATCCAGTCACCTGTGCTTTTCCCTTCTTTCCTTTCGTAAACCTGTTTTCTAGATAAACAAAGATGATCGCTGTTCACTAGTTGGCTCCTTTGATTTATTTTTCTTGAGAGTTGATCTTGAGTTTTGATTTGCTGTTGTTTTGGTTATCCTAGCTCTCGCACTGCTCAGAATAGTTTTGGTGTCTGCTTCAATGACAGTATGGTCCCCTTTCCTTCTTGCTGTCTTTAGCGTGGTGGGAGGGCTTCTCATTTGCCGTTACTCCTGGTTGTCTCCACACACGTCTTTCTTCTGGTAGCGCTGGCCGGACCCACAAACTGCATAGTGATTCCCACGACCCTCTTACAGAACTTCTGCCCTAAGCGCAAAAGAACTTATTTATCTGATTTCTTGCCTGAAATCTGGCTCTTTGGAAGTCTTGAGCCAAAAGGCACTTGCAGGTAGATTGAAAGTGCCATGACATTATTGCCTCCGATCCTAAGATATTCTGATTTTTATTGCATGTGTGCATTTTGAGTACTACCTGCCCAATTTAAGGTAAGTGACATGCAGCATGAGGGTTTTAACCTTTCCTGTTGCATTTTGGGCTAAGCTCTCCCCAGGAATAGAGTGTACCGGAAGCATAGGGTTGCTTCTTGATGTGGTCTGGCACCAGGAGTCACATCCCAGTCCACCTTTTAGACTAAGATGTGATTAAGGATATTTTTAACCTCTGTGCTGCACTTTCTGTATTGATGCTATACAGGTGCTGACATTATCTCCTTTGAAATGTGTGCAGCTTTTTCTGTTGCCTTGACTCAAAAGTACTGTGTTTGGGGATTAAATGTTTTCTGTTTACAAAATGGCTAGCATGACAGATGGTAAAGCATGCTTACTGAACCCATTTGGGCGGAGGGCTTCCTACATGGGGACCCATTTTCTGATCCTTTGCAGTAGTTAAATAGCCATCATGTAAAAAGCTGATTAGAGAATCACAACGTTGATACCCTGGAGTTTGCCTGGTTTCTGATTTTCTTTTGTGACCTTTAAATTTAGATTCATTAAGGTCAATAAATCAAGCATCTGGTGTGTGCTAGAACACGGTGGACCAGATTAACAAGTGTTTGGAGTGTTGAAAAGATAATTTTGTTTTTAAATAGTTTCTGTTAATTTTCTGTTAAGGTTTTTATTTTTGTAATTTTTATGTTTTTAATTAATTTTTTAAAAATATAGCTAATGCATTCACATGATGAAAGAAACCATTTGAAAGGCACAAAAAGTTCAGGAGTTACATACATCTCTCTCCACCCTGACCTCTGTTGTCTCATTTTGTTTCTCAGATGCAAGCTGAAGTTTCCTGATTTTCATCCTTCAGAAGTGGCTCATGCCCTTCAAAGATATTTTATGCATCCATAAGTAAATTCCTGTGAATATTGTGCACACACATACACACCCCTGTGTGCACAAGTGCTTGCACCTATATGTGTGGTGTGTGGAGCTTTGCTTTATTTCACCTACGATTTCTTGGCAGTATGGAGTTTCCACATCATTTCTCATGAAGGCCATCTCATCTACATACCTGCTTGCTGTTTCTAAGACTGCGGCAATATCACATGCAGAAACTAAAGCTGTTGTGGATATTTGGGAGCAAATGTTTGTCTTCTCCAAGTCCTGCAGCTGTTAGCTTGAGAGGAGGCTGTGTGAGGTAGGGCTTCTCCTGAACGCCATACCACAAAGAGATGGCTAAGGAGTTCAGAGAAAGGAGGAGTGCGTGTCAGACTGGGCCCTTGACTTTGACCTGCAGGTAGAAACTGTGCAACTTCACAAGGGAAATTTGCTGTCTTTCTTTTTCCTTTTTTTTTTTTTTTTTTTTGGTGTTTTCTCTCTGCTCTCTGTTACAGGCCTCCTTGCTTCCCTAATACACATCTCTGTGGTATCCAAACCGTTTCTTATCCCGACAGCATCCACTCTGCCCTTGCTTTTGGGCATTAAAGGGCACTCCTAGCCTTCATCACCGGCCTTTCTGTTTGAGTAACTTTATTGAAGTCTCCCACCCTTTATCTGCTGTCACTCACTTCTCTGTAAAGAATCCTAACCAAACCTATGGTTAACCTTTGTCACTCTTCTTGGAGGTGTTTCCCAAGATCTGCAAATCACTCTGCCACTTCCAAGGTCCAATTGTTAGCTAGCTTTGCCTTGCTTGTACTCTTTCACTGGTGCTGGCTTTAAAAGAAAAGATTTCAGGGTTTTCATGTTGGAGTTTTCTGTGGCTGTGCTTGTATTGTAGATAACAAGATAAACACTGATTTAAGAGTGATCATTTTTTGATTGCTCTCGGATCTTGCCTATTGCATGCGTTTTTTTCTCTCGTCTTTGATTATGCCTTAACTTTGAGCTGGCTTTTATTTACCTCTGTGTCTGATTGAAAGTCACCTTCCAGTGTAATCTAGAGTCATTGCGTTCTGGTCTTTGCTGATTGCTGGGTATCCAGCACGGATAGCGTATTTGTAACGTGATGGTAGGGATATTGTGTTATCAATTACACTCCTGCAAGTCTCTCTTGCATAGGAGAAATTTTGGAAAACTGTCCGTGTTCATACAATAACCGCAGGCATGTGTTTGTGTACTCTTGCCTTAGTCATGTCACTCAGGGCAAGAAAAAAACAAAAATTGGGAAGTCCAACATAGGATTGTTTATCTTCCATCATCATCAATTTCATTTAAGGAGAATAATTCTAGCACCAGGATTGTTGGAAGGTCAATATCTCAGAATCAAGAGAACCTTTTAAAGACAATTTTTAGTTTGATAAAATGGCTAATGACCTTGGAATCTTAGCATTTAGAAGGGCCAAAAGTAGAGGATATTATTCAAGGTATGGTTCTACTTTTAAAAAGTTTTCCTAAATGGCACTAAGCTCATTTCTTGCTGGAAATCCAGGCTAACCTAGCAGTAGCATCATTTGGTGTCTTTGGGTGGTGTGGACCACACAATGTTGAAAATGCAGTTGGCAGCATTGGACGTTGTCCTTTGACACCAGAGTTCTGCGTTTCTTCACATCTAATGTGTCACATTGTGATTCTGTAGGAGTAGGAGGTGACTGATACAATCTGTGGCGATTGAGTAAGACCCCATGGCAGCGTTTGCATTTTCATTCTTTTGAAACTTGTATTTAAAATGATTAAATTCATGATCTAACATGTCAGCTGGTGACAGAGATTGTTTCTGAGATAGCATTTGACTTCTCATCCAGGTCTCCATCATATTTTTTGCTCTCCTTTTGTTGCAAATTTCCCAATCCAGCACCAAGAACATGTTCTTGAGGTTTCTTGAGTTCTTGTTGGATTAAGAACATTCAGACTTTATGCTTTCATGTTAACAATAATTGGAAATTTTAAGATTTGCTTACTTTGAGCATCAGAGTTACAGAGAGAAAGGGAGAGACAAAGAATCTTCACTCACTGTTTTACTCCTCAGATGGTTGCAGTGGCCCAGGATTGGGCCAGGAGATTCATCCAGGATTCCCACATGTGTAGCAGAGCCCCCAAACACTCGAGCCATCCTCAACTGCTTTCTCAAGCCATTAACAGGGAGCTAGATCAGAAATGGAGCAGCTGGGACACTGGCCAGCACTCACATGGGATGTTGGTGTTGCCAACAGGCTCTATCCTACCCCAATACCAGCCTCTGGAAATGTTTGAGCACTGGATGTCTGATTATATCAGGGCCACCCACATGGCCTCATATCCTCCATTCAAGTGTGAGTTGCTCATGAGCTGGGACCAGGAAAGCCGCTGTAATAGACTGAAGTACAGAGGTGGGCTTAGCACAGGAAAGGCCGAGAGCAGGGATGTGGGAAGGGGGTTGTTGCACTGCCCCACTGGCACAGGCCCTCGGGATGCTGACATTGTCAGTAGGCATCTACGCTCTGAAAACTGGTATCAGTCTCATTACCTTCATATAAGTTCATCAGAATTTTACTTGTGTTTATTTACACATTGTTTTGGTCTCCACAGATATAAAAGTGCTAGAAGGAGTTATGCTTGTTCATTTTAAGAAATGATATAATAAATAAGGACTGAATACAAGTAATTTCATTTAATTAAGAACTGAACACAAAGAGTTAATGCAAAGTAAACCAGGGAGGTTTCGTAGGACTAGTAGGCTCACTTTAGAGGCCACTTGAACCCTGAGTTCAAAGGACCTTGATGCAAGACTTTTAGCTCTCCGAGGCAGAGATTTCCTGGCATATTTGTATCCTGCACAGTTCCCTTCTGTGTTTTTGAGAAATATTAGTCAAGTTGAAGAATTAGCAGACCTTGTTATCCTAGGTGTACATGCAGCCAATGCTTTTGGCTCACGGTAATGAAAAGGAGCCCTCTGAAAGTAACTTCTCTGCTTCTTCTCTGATTGTCTCCTTTAGGAGTGAGCCATGACGTTTTCTTATTGATGTTTGCATGACCTGAACGCTTGCCAGGTTGACAATAGCTGGCAGTAGCTAAAGGCTGTTTGCCACATGTGACTCATCAGCCCAAGGTCGGTGGGGACTGTGGCTGGATGCCAAGTGAGCTGGGTCTCAACCAAGACGATGTCCTGTTGCTTGTGATCATCACCCATCCCTTTATTATCCTTTATTTGTGGGGATTTAAAGATGATATACAATAGGCAGTATTGTATGGCAAACCCCCATACTCCTTCACCCACAGCCCACCTACATGACTGGAGCTGTAATTAATCCATGGCCACTCGTGTATCCTCTATTATTCTAGCTACGTTTCCTCTAAGTTGCATTAATTTAGACTTAAATACAAAACATCATATAACTGCACCTATAAATACCTCTCTGATGTCTTGCATAGAAATGGACTCTGTAACTAATCCCTATCATATGTAAAATCAATAATAATTCTCTAATATTAGATATCCAGGCATTGTTCTCATTTCCAGTTTAAAAATGTCATAATTGTTTTTCTTAATTCTTTTTGAATCAAGATTCAAATAAGGATCACGTATCTTGATTGGGTTCTCTCCCTGTTATGTTTCTTTTGAGCCACAAATTTCCTCCTTCTCTTTTTTCCCTGCAATATATTGGAGAAACTTTGTTCTGTAGGGCATTCATGTATGATGGCATGCAAAGGGTGCAGTAAGGTAGAGTGTGGAAAGCCTTCCTTCCCGGAGGGCCAGATTATTAATATCTTGTATATTTTTCTTTTTTATGTAACTAGTAGCTTATTATGCAGGTTGTCCTACTTGTTTTGTTTACTTGAAATAATGCAGTTTGTTTAGATTTATTTATTTATTGTGCTTTTTTTCAAATGTAGAGAGACATCTTCCATCCACTGGTCTATTCTCCAGATGTCCATTATAAACAGGGTTTAGCTAGGCTGAAGCCAGTGCCTGGAACTCAATCTGGGTCTTCCATGTGGGGGCAAGGATCTGAGCATGGACGTGCCACATGTGTTTCTTCTCAGCATACACATTAACAGGAAGCCAGAATGAGAGCCAAGCCTGGATCCAGGCACTGTGATGTGGGAAGTGATTGTCAACACCTCCCTAGCACGGCACATTTTAGCACATTTTCATGTGCAGAGTGGTGTCCTGCTAACTTTCTCATGTGTCCAATTATGATTCTCTGTCTCTTAAAGATGAAGGGAAACACGCCACACCTAGGGTTTTACAATTGCACTGGAGTCCTGAGGGCTGAGAAACATTCTTTTTATTTTATTTTATTTTTTTTGGATTTTCATTCAGCATTTGTCAGGCCCTTTTGTTGCTGACACTGTACAGGTTTTTGTCCTCAGATGTTCCCTGGGACCTGGCCCCCCCTGTGCACCTCCATGGGCCGTACTCGGTCCTGGGGGGGCGGGGATACTTTCATGAATGTTTTGCTAAGCTTCCAACCTCTCACACTCCCTGCCATGTGGCCCATATTCACACTGTAGGCTTTAGGCTCTCAGGTTCCAAATACCCTGGCTGCAGTCCCCTCTGAAGTTCTGATCATAAAAATAGAGTGCTCACTCATTCTTGTCCATGACAGTGAAAAACGCATTCATCTAACTAGTGAAATGATAGAAGATGCCAAGTAGATTATAGCCAAGAATATTTTCCCCATTTAGAAAAGAATCTTTCTTTCCCTCACTCTGTCAGTAATATCGTCCATCAGTGATTATTGTTGACACAACTACACAGAAAGCTGGATGTTGCATTGAAATCTTCATTTTGCTGCTGCTGCAGAGCTTATACAAGTCATTAATATCACCCATTAGTGATTATTTTTGATACTACTACACAGAAAGCTGGAGGTTGCACTGAGATCTTCATTTTGCTACCGAAGAGCTTATACAAGGCATGTAAACAAAGAGACATGACAGAGCTTCTTGGGTTGGAGTTGAAGTGGTTGGGTCAGTCCAGGTCTTCAAATGGTCACCACAATGGAGCCGTGTCTTGCTCCTCTGCATTGCTAGAGCCTTCCCCTGGCCCAGGGAGGGCCTCTGTGCCCTAATGTCCTTGCTTGCATTAGTAACTCACATAGCTGATGTGAGTAGCAAATGAGGTAATGTCTGAGGATGCACACTGTACATAGTAAATTATGGACTTGGTCTCCAATGTCAACATCAGCTTATTTTGTGACATGCTTAAGGGGTCAGTGAGGTAATGTTTTCAGATTGCACACACCTAATGAGCTGCACTAATAGGAAATTTTAATATCAGATAGTTCTCTCCCTTCATTTGCAGAACTGGTGGTTTGAAGATAATGGTGTCAGAGTCCAAGCATAGAGCAGGGTTCCAGGATGAGAGCCTTCGATCCCTAATGCCGGTTCACAGGTTTGATATTTGGGTAACAGCCTAGTGGACAACCTAATGGTCCAGAATAGAAGAACTTCTATTCTGGAAACAACTGTGTGATCCAGTTGTTTCTGGTAGAAGTTGACTGCATTGGGGTTGGCAGAAATGGCTCACATGCAAGTCTCTGACCAGACCCAACATTGTTAAGGAACCAGACATTCAGCTCTGGACTGGGACCCATTCTAGCATTGGTGAAGTATGCCCCTCCCTTGCCTTCTCTGGCAGTTTTCCAATTTTAATTATAATAGAGGATACTCTAATGGATGGCACTTAACCTACGCTGTCTCATGCCTCAGAATGACTCTACAAGAAAGGCCTTATCATCCCCATTTAGTGGGCAAGGAGACTGGTATGCCAAGGGGTTATAAAACTTGCCTGAAGTCATACAATTCTATATTTAAGGTTTTTTCACCTACTTGAAAGGCAAAGCAACAGAGTGGGGGCAGGGTGAAGAGAGATCTTCCACCCCTTGGTTTATTCCCTAAATTGCTACAACAGCCAGGGTTGGACCAGGCTGAAACCAAGAGTCCAGAACTCCACGTAGATGTCCCATGCTGGGCAGTAGCCCAAGCACTTCAGCCATTATCTCCTGCCTCCTGGGATGCATTAGCAGAAAAGTGGATGGGAAGCAAAGTAGCTGGATTCAAACCAGCAATTGAATTGGGGATGCTGGCATCGCAAATGGCTGCATCACAAAGCCTGCCCCAAAGGGGCTGCTGTGCCTCAGTTCCCCTGCACCAGCAACTCCTGAGTAACCCAGCTGAAGCTCAGAAGCCACATCTGTCTGTTGCCTCTTTACCTTGCACACCCAGAGAAAGTGACTCAGTGAATCAGAAACATTTCAATACCAGTTCTTCTGGTCTGTTTCCACAGACATTTTCAGAATTCCACAGATGCTTGGAGAAAGGGTTTTTCTGTTTCCTTTGGATGTTATGAAGGAACCTTATTTTGTAATCCTACCAATCTCTTGATCTAGGTTGACCTAGGATTAATTGTGTTTCTGTTTATGGTTTGTGCACCAAATAAGCCCATTCTGTTGGAAAATGTTGGACGATTTTGTCACATCTTAGAGTAGCAGAAATCACCAGTCTTCTTATGGTCTTTGTCTTCCTCCGAGTGTCAATGATCATTTCCATCTGCCCCATCTCGAGAGCCTTTCCCATCTGCTACCTAGGACAGCTTGCCCTCACTTTGAATTCTCTTTATGAGGCATCAGTTTCTGATGTAGGCTTATAACTAAGTCCAGTAAGGTGGCCTTTACACAGAGAAGAAAGAAATGAAAGAAATACAGCACTGGATGGTGGCTCCTCTGAGAGAAAGCTGAACATTTTTTCATTTGGGGAAGGATAATTATTTGCCTGAACTTTGAAGTGTTGTTTCAGATATTCAAAAGCCACTGAGCTTTCTCTTTGGGTGCCGTGGTGTGGCAGTTACTAAAGGTCCATAGCTCTCAGCCTCACGTGATATTTCTTTATAAGAAAATTCTGTTCAAGAGATCACAGTGGTGATGCTTTTGGCTAACACCTCTCCAGCAGACTCAGTCAGTAAATAAGTATTTAGGAACTTGCCACTGTATGCTAAACCCCTAAATTTAAGTTTATATGTAAATTAATGTAAACATGAGCATTGAGTAAGAAAAATCCTGCCACATTAAAGCACTATGAATCATCACTTTTAGGTAAAGGTTAAGACTAGCAGATTTTCTAGTGATGAAAGGATATTTACAAAATATGAAAGTGAAACACTATATTTTAGGGCTGGGTGGATGGACCCTCAGGGCAGCTTCCTGTATTGTTCAGCAGGTTGTACAGAGCTAGTTCCCAGTGATGCTTGAATAGGGGATGAAAATACTTGCCCAGCATAGCTGTGGGCTGGGTTGTACTTAGCCAAGTAAATGCTTCTCGTGCCTCCAGCCTCACATCCGTCCCTCAGCTGCATAACATAGCACGCACAGCTTCGTGCACAGAGCCACAGTGGCATGTGTGTGGCGCTATCTTCCAGGCTGACGTCTGCATCCCCTGGTAAGCAAAGCACTGAAGCTTCTTTTCAGGGTGACTCATTGTCATTGCTCTCCAACCCATCCAGCTTCTGACTGCCTCACATTCTCAGGCCTTAGCTCAGCTAGCAGCCTAGCCTGATGCCTGTTCTTCCTCTGTCTCACCTGCTCTTCTGTTCCATCTGTTCCTGTGGCTTCTCAGCCATAAGTCTGCTTCCTCTTTTGTGCATGCTTGGTTCAAATTTATCCAGTATGTACAGCTAGTATTCAGAGTTTAGTAGTTAGTTATATACAGATTGGCACCATTTTCCAATTATTCCATGGATGCCATGCATTATACTTCTGCTGTGGTCCCTGCCAGAAATTAGAATGGAGTTGATTGATGCCTGTGGTATTCCATGGGGAATGGGGTGGTACCCTGTGATGTTGACACTGTTTTCTGTGGCTTTTGTCCTCTTCATTTACAAACCACCACTTTATCCAGGAGGATGCGCTTCACCTCTGCAGGTGGATGAATTTGGGGTACATGAGATCCTTTTCTTTCCCAGGCACAGAGAAGTATCTCCCCTACTTCTGATAAAAATCACCTTTTCTGCTGGCCAGCTCCTCACCTCCCAGGGAACTGACAAGCAGCAGCACTAGTGCATCAGGAAATGCAGGCAGTGAGCACAGCGGCTGAGTGTGTGTGCTGTGG